TCTGAGCCATGTCACACAGAGTCTCCAACCATTGGTTACGATAGTCACGCGGACCCCAACCAGGTAGTCTGCACCTACCAACATGGCTCAGACTAGAAGTTAGTGACTTCAAACACTGATGCCATGTTTTGGTTTGGCCTCCCCTAACTCTCTTCCAACCATCCCCTACACTAGTCAGCATAGCACATCGTGGTAATCGGTGTTCAGGCATACGTAACACGTGGCCCAACCATCTCAGTCGATGAAGATTCATCAACTGATTTACCATCGTTCCCTAATACCCTGCGTCTAACCTCATTATTACTTACCCGGTTATCCCAACAGATGCGAGCAATATTTCTAAGGCATCTGCGGTCAAATACTAGTAACCTACGAGTATCTTCTACTCTTAATGGCCATGTTTCACAGTCGTTTCACAGTCGTAAAGTAGAACAGAGCGAACTGATGCGAAGTATACTCGTCCCTTAATTGATAGACGGATATCTCGTCTTCGCCATAGGTGACGTAAGTTGGCAAAAGCCAAACGAGCTTTTCGAATCCGTGCTGAGATTTCGTCAGACACCAACCCATTAGGGCTGATCAGACTTCCAAGATAAGTGAAGTTGTCCACGCGTTCGACTACTTCACTCCCTATCCTTAGTTCAGGTGTTGACGCAGGCCAGTCCTGGAGTAACAATTTACATTTGGATGGGGAGAAACGCATCCCAAACATCCTGGCGTTATTACTTAGTTCCAACAGAAGACTGCACTTTGTCAGCGTCTTCACCAAGCAGAACTATGTCATCTGCGTATTTTAAGTCGATTAGTGGACCCCTGGTAGGAGATCAATTCCTGAAAATTCAGTCGACGAGAGTGTTATTCCCAGCGACAGGTCTATAATGAAGTTAAACAAAAATGGGGATAGTGGACAGCCTTGTCGGACACCACTTGAGGTTGCAAAACCATGATAGTTCGTCATAAGCTCTCACTCGACTGGTAGTGTTCGAGTAAGGAGCCTTCACAAGGTTTATGTACTTCTCAGGTACACCTTTCAATGACAGACACTGCCACAGAACCTCTTGGTCTACAGAGTCAAATGCTGCTTTCAAGTCAAGAAAAACTATCATTGTCGGACGCCGATAAGCGTGCCTTTGCTCTAAAACTTGACGAATGGTGGATATGTGGTCGATACAGCCACGACCAGGTCTGAAGAGAATCGTTGGCTATGGTGACACTTGAGGAGGAAACCGAGAGAGGAAGTTTAGTGTTGAAAGTCAAGGTAGAAGGAATAGTAGGAATTGAAGAAGGAGATTGATTATGAATACAGTGGTTTTGAGTGCTGTTTGAGGTATGAGGGCAGTTATCACTTCCCGGTTGCCCACACCGTGGAAGGATTCTTCTAGAGGTACCTGAAAAGGAAATTGGGTTAGAAGTGGTCTTAATGACCTGAGAGCGTGACCGCAGTGCCCAAGGGACAACTGCTTGAGGTCGGTCACACGCGACCTTTTTGTGGGTAGTTTTTGTGTTAGCTCCGTTCTTCAAAAAAACCTTACCGCCGGAGACGGATATCCGTGGGATAAGGCGAGGTGTGCATTTTTAGGGTCGACGTTTTTTACCCCCACCCTTCCTTGTGGGAAGGCAGCATTGTTGTCATGCTGGTTGCCTGAAGGAAACACCTTACTGCTGCCACACTTCTGAACAGTGAGCAGTACGACTTCGTCTTTGGACCTTGGGTTTGCTGCTTTTAGTCTCACCGCTCTTCAACCGACCTGTCTGGCATGGTAGGACCTCGAGAAACGATTGTTCCAGCCAGCATAGCTCGATTGCTTCATCACGATAGACAAGCCCGACCACCACGTCAAGGTAGCAGCAACGGTCGGGTGGATGCAGACTACTTGGTTAGGGTCTGAGCAACTATTGTAACCAATGTTTGGAGACTAAGTGACAATGACGTAGGTGTATACACTCTGTCTTCTTTTAAACCGTGAGATTACTGTATGCCTTTCTACGAACTAATCCTTCCTTCAAATATTACGTCTTTATATGCACTCTTTCTTTAATATATTACTACCATCGGAGTAACTACTTCTGTGAATTTGATGTTCATCTTGTAGTGCTAATGAAATGTGGCAACTTATGTGTGCGTGGTCCTACGTTATAGCTGACTGACTGGAGATAGGAATATATGCGGTTAAACTAATTTATGTGACTATATCTGACGACGTTACGGTTATTTGTAGGATTATCCAACCAAAAATATTAGTAATGACATTATCACTTATCTCCGTGTTGGTTATGTTGACATTCACAGATGTGATAGGTATTTCCATAGCAATCATCCGGTAGAAATAATAGGAGTGTAAGCAGTAATCCGAAAGATTAGGGTTTGAAGATGTTATTAAAAAAGTACATCAGTTCGAGTTGCCATACCACATTAACACAGAGATGCAGTTGTCGATTCAAATCCCATAATGGTAGAAGTAGTAAGAGTATAAGTATCAGTGTGAAAGATTAGGGTTTAAAGATGTTATTGAAGGAGTATAATACAGTGAAATAAATTTGGAAAGAGAAAAAAGATGGAGACATTCAGAATTCAGCAGAACACAAATAGCGGATGCAGATTCGCCATTGCAAACGATTTTGAGCCATGTCATTCAGTGTCTCTAACCATCCGTTGCTATAATATCGCGGATCCCAATCAGGTAGTCTGCACCTACCAACAGGGCTCAGCCCACTTGTCAGTGACTGCATCGATTTGTGCCACGTTTTGGTGTGGCCACCCCTAGCTCGGATTACTTAGTCCCTCATTTTTCTCTGTGATCGAGTACTAGTAACTCACGAGTATTTTCTACCATTAATGACCACGTTTCCAAGCCATAAAGTAGAACAGAACGAACTGCTGTGCAGTATACTCGTCCTTTTATTGATAGATAGATATCTCGCCTTCGGTCACGTATGTTAGCAAAAGTCAAACGAGCTCCTTCAATCTTTATATTCCTATTTAAGACTGCAACTAGTCAGTACGGAGAGCCAGCAGGACAAACACTTTATTGATTTGAGGGTGTGAAAGTGCTCATATTCTCACCATAAAATATATTAAAGTACGGAAACGGAACAAACACCTATCTACGGTCTTTTACGTGCCAAACCATAGAGTAAGGAACATAGTGTTGACCCTTCGTCGTTTGACAGACTACAAATCGAACTATTTAAATGTTGGGTTTCACACGAAGCCCTCTGACCTCTTTCGCAAAATGATCGTTGTGGGCAATTCTAGAGCCGAAATTTATAGGTTAAGTCAATCTAGAAAACAAATATGGGTATATTGGTGTTTAAGCCAGGCAAACTTTCTATTTGCTCAGCAGTGGACGACATTATGTACGAAAATCGTGGGACTTATATTTGAAAAAAAACAATGATGTGACCCAAGACCGAGGGTTACTAATTACAATATGAAGCTATAAGATGAACTTTGAGCGGAAACCAAAGACCTGTTTAGCAGCAAGGCGATTAAAGTACAAACGATTCAAAAAATGGGCATTTGCAGTAACCAAGCAACACTGCTGCATAATACCACTGTTTCCCAAAACAAATCCTCACTGTGATTCCTCTTTACTTTATCAAATCATCACCGTACGCTCGAGTCTGACTTGCGGAATCTCAATAGTGAGATACGTACGAATATTTATAACTAAATACTACGATTGCGACTGAATAAAAGACTCACTAAACACCGTGTGTTCAAGTCACAAACGCCGTAAACACTTCATACCACATGGCGAACAAGTACCTACTCGTGATGTATCGACTTATTACTTAACTGGCAATAATACGACGACTGAAGTGCCAGCTCACTAGCTCTGACATTATGTTTCAGCACAACCAGGCTAACTCCAATTAACATCTGTGTAGTGCTTACACCAAACCATTCTCGACTAACAAGTATCTCACTTGAATACAAACTAGATCCGACGAGTCTCAATTGACGCAGACCTAACAACCACTAATTATAGGTAGCAGGAGATGTTAAAAACTTCGATGTTAGGAGGCTTTAAATTGCGTTCCTATATACTGTTAAACTGAAGACAACTGAAATCAAACCATCTAATAAGCAGCGGATCCATGAATGGCAGGACAGTCCAATAATATGGAAGTCTTCAAAGTATTCTAAAAGAGTATATTGAAGATTGTTAAAGGGCCAGTCACCAGGAAAGCTATATTTCTAATACTTAAAAACAGACATTTCAAAAGTCAACCAACCCGAGAAAACTACCAAGACACTGGGCAATGTCTGATATGACTTGAACCGAAACTTCTGAGCGACTGCAAGGTCCAATCAAAACTCTTGGTTAACGACCAACCTCGCGTTATCCCCAATGGTTTTAATTTACTGAAGATTACTTGCGCTAATACAATACGTCATGGAATGGGAGATAATCAGTAAGCCGAAGGTGGTTCCATACTTTCAAACACACTTCAGATTAGAACTAAGATGGAAGGACTGCAGTAGATATGGCCCTTGTAAGTGTCAGCAAACAGCTGAACTATTTGCACTAACCTAAAAGTATATAGTACACATCAGAAATTATAAAACATGACAGGTGCAACAATTCAAACTATCGTACGGCACAGCTTAAAGGGATTTAGAGCACTTCATTGACTACGAGGATCTAGAACTTATCGCTGGCAAGAACAGTGCAATCACGTAGCCGTTAGGGTATCCTGATTTTGTGTATAGACTACAGAAGTCGGAACTTCGAGGAATCATAGCATGGGTGTACGAGACTATGTAGAATACAGAAGCGAAAGTAATCGCAGCTTATCAACCTGCCGTACATGACAGTCGGGGAGAACATGACTACGATCGAATTTATTCCGATGTGCCACCAAATCAAGGTGGAACAACCTAAAAATCTAATCTGGTTAAAAGTAGTAAATAAATTTCGATTCAATTTTTGACCTCAGGATATTTAAATCACTTTTACCAGTTGCTAGAACCGTAAACAGAAGACGCAAGAAATGGAATTCAACAAATTATTATTGGAAAACTATGTACAAATGTTCGTCTGATACAAAGTAATAGAGTTTGGGAATCAATCTTGAGGTATGCAGCGACAGAGACACCAAACTCATGTGGAAAGACATTGGTACCAAGAGCAATTCTGAACTTTTTATCCTTTCTTTAAAGGCCGCCTATTGTGTAGTCGGGTTAAGAGAAAGGGAATAAGTTATATAAGTTTAAGAAACTCAATATGTGCATAACTATTGATTAGAACCTATAACTAAAATGGGTGACGCATAACCATGATCACTAGATATAACATCCTTATCAACACTGTCTACGGATGTATTAGACAACAGATCGCAATAACTAGGGTCCGACACAGTTAAATCACAAACACTGATAAATTCACAATCTTCATCCCACTGAGAGCTGATTGAACACGAAGGCTCTATAAGAGACCAACAATTATGGGGATTCTGTGAAGAACGCATAGCCTTCCAAGTACTTAAAGCCTTACACAATAAGTGGCGGTTAAGTAACTTGCCTGGGCTATGTCGTTCAAACTTTTCAAGCTTCCGTTTCCCGACGTGGACCAAACGTTTGAGCAAACGGTGGCACTAAAATACAATAAAAGTAAAAACAAAAGGAGTACCAAACGTACCTTGATGCTCGAACAACGTAACTCTGAAACCATGATTACGACCGAGTTTAAAATACTTAAGCCGCGGTTGTGTTTAACTGTAAATCAAGCGAATAAACAAATGGTTCAAATGGTTGAGGGCGGAATAGAAGAAGCTTTCGCTTAACGGGCTTACGTGTCTAGTAACAGTGAATCACCAATACTTACAGGCAAGAACCTAGGTATATTAACGATAATTGAGGGGAAAAAAAAGAATTTGGTAAATCAAAGTATTATGTTATTCTTAGTCCTTAAGAATAAGTGAAGTTTCCTACTAAAGAACTCTTGGGAAGTCGCTTGGCCTAGCTCAGTCGGCGGCAAATTCCAGCATTTGACAGTTCTTATGAAGTAGAAGTTGTGTCTACAGTCTGTCCTGCTATGTTGGGTCTCCAGTTTCTGGGTATCACCGCTTAGGTTAGTGTTGTGACTAAGCTTAAGAAAATGTGTAAGGGGATGACCAGAAGCAATAAGGATGCTGTTAGTCATAAGAAGTTCACTTATAAGACTACTGTACTCTAACGAGTAATGGTTAAGTGATTGGATGCGCTTTACATAAGGTTTGAATTTGAGCCCCGGGACTGATTTCGTGGCTCGACGTTGGATGCGTTCCAGAGTGTCTTTATCCTTTTGGAGAGAAGGAGGAAATATTATGTTTCCATACTCTAAATGGGGACGAGTAAAACTGTTGAAGATTTTTTGAAAGGTTCTATCGTCAAACTGGCCAAGAATGCGCTTCAATGTTACCAGTGCAAGGTCTGCTTGAGAGGCGTTTTTGTCACAGTTCGCATACGACTTCAGGTCGTAGGGTACACACTCTCCCAAATCTTTCTCGACTTGGGAAACTTCTAGAGAGGAGTTACCTAAGTTATAACTGTAGTCTGCAACATGTCTCAGATGGACTACTTTGCACTTTGAAGTGTTGAAGGTAAGTCCGTTGTCGTCTGCCTAACTTTGAAGTCGAGTCAGATCCTCCTGAAGCATTAGTGTATCCTTATGGTTACGCATCTCTCTCCAAAGTTTCACATCATCAGCAAAAAGCAATAAGTCAGATGAATCTTGTTGAAGTTGATCGTTAATGTAAATCAAGAAGAGAAGATGTCCAAGTTTTAAGCCCTGGGGGATCGCACTAGGACAGTTCATAGCCTGAGAGAGAGTAAAGTTAATCCTGACCTTAAAGTTTCGGTTTTCTAGATATGAAGTGAGCCAGTCAATCAAAGGGGGTTTTGTACCCAATAGTCTAAGCTTCTTGATAAGACATACGTGGTTGACCCTATCAAAAGCTTTTGAAAAATCCAGGTAGATGACGTCAACCTTCCCCTTGCGATCAAGGATGGTTGTCCATCTATCCACCGCAGTCAGCAGGTTGTTCATACAAGAATGACCTTTTCTGAAACCGTGCTGTTGAGGTGAGAAGAACTTTTAGGATAGTGAGTATTCTTGTATATCTTCGTATATTAGTGATTCCATAATTTTAGATATATGGAGAGAAGGGCCACTGGTCGGTAGCTTGAGGGTTCACTGAGTCGACCTCCTTTGAAAATTGGTGTGATGTGGGCCAGTTTCCAAATTTCCGGTAGTTTGCCTCGGCTTCACGCTAAGTGGTGTCGCCAGGATTGCAGCTGCTTCCCTCAATACAACGGAATGAACCATGTCCGGACCAGGAGAAGTGTCTTTTTTTAGGTTCTGCAGTTTACGGAGCACCAAGTCAGCACTCAGGTCCACTTCGAAAAGTCCTGTACAGGTGCAGGTGAAGCTTGCGTCAGTATAGTTGATGTGGGTCGGCTGGAATGTCTGAGAGTATTGTTTAGCCAAAAGGTTAGCGGCATCACCGTCATCATTGGTTGGCCCATTAGGACCTAGCAGTTGAGAAACTCCAGTTTTGCATTGTCGAAGAGAAGCTGCATAACTGAATAAACTCACACTCTCCGATGTAGATTGAAAAATACAATAACATCGTCTGTAACTAAGTTATGATGCGTGAATTTATCAAATCCTATACCTAATATGATGGCACACAATTCTAAAAAGGAAGTGGTATTTCTCGTCGTTGGGTTAATCTGATACAACTGATCGCTTCCCAAGGTAAAAAGGTTGTTTTCATGTTTATCGAAAATGGATTTTTCTAGTTACGGTAACATGTAAGTCTCAGCTCTTTTTTCAATGTCTATCACCTTTAGAACCTTGAAAATAGTTATTCTAGAGGTAACTGTCTTTCGTTGCATTTTTTCTGAGAGATTACATAGGAATGGTAATTGTGCAAGTAGAATACCACTGTGATAGAACCGAATGCTTTTTACCGGTCGAGAATGGATGCAATTTTACAACTGCAACAGGTGGTGTCGCAACGTTTACACCGAACTCACACCGATTTCATATAAATGGTGCTGCAATTCACTATCATGCTAGCTGTAGAAAACATGCTGCTCTACAAAAATTCAGCCGATCCATGAAGCGACAATACAGGTGAACATAACTAGAAAGCCGCATTAAGATAAAAAGCTAACAGCGAATTAGCAGCCTTCGGTTTCTGAGGAAGCAGTGAACGTCATCATGACTCATGCATTGGATTTGGATGAGACCATCTAGATGGATCCAATTACGTGGCGGACAAACACATAGACGTTGGCATAGTTGCAAGAAATGAGGAAAAGTGCGCTGGGAAGAAACAAATTATGGGGAGCCCCAAGATATGAGTACCGAGGATTTCTCCGGATTCATATATAAACGCAAAAGTATGGTCGGTGTAGGTGGTATGATCAATAGACATCATAAGGTCAGTAATTGGCTTTCGGTTACACTCAGATAGAGAAAACTGAGGAAACAAAGTGAGACCTTCGAGTGTGACACCAAATCGAACTGTATGGATGGGAAGATTCCGGGAAACAAAATGTCACAACAGATCACAAAGGATCTCACTGATGGGTAAGTTATTTTTCGTAAGATAAGGGAATCTACCGAAGAGGAATCAAAGGCTAAATTTAAACACGAGCTAAGCCAAATTAAATCCTCAATTAGCAAGCTACTTCCAGAAACAGAAGCAGGAATTAGCATCTTTTAGCTTTATAGAATGGGACAAAATGTAGATTCTGAAAGTACTCAGAGAATCCGTCTCTTAAAATCTATCTTAGCTTCTGATGAAGAGAGAAGCCTCATGCTGAAAACCTCACGGAAAATATATATCCGTGAGGATCTCAGCCTGAATAATCGTATTAAGATACGACCGAAAAAGGCAGAAATAAATGAACACCATCCAAACGCTGAAAAAAGCTTTATACTTGGGGTTTTTCAAAATGTAAACCTTCTAGGCGAAACAGTCCTCAATCCAATCCCAGTGATAAGGAAAAGTTATCCACAGTATTAAAGGTGTGCTACACAAATGCTCACAGCCTACAAAAATAAGATAGCGGAGCTCAAAACAGTGGTGGCCTTAAAATCCTGATGTCACTGCCATCTCAGCCACATCGTTGACGTCAAAAGTTTTTGATGGTGAAATTCAGCTTACTAGTTTTTTATCCAATAGGGCCGATATGCCGGAGAGTAGGAGTAGTGACGTTATCCTGTAGAGGAGAAGTGCCTTAGTCATATGAGCTGTCGAGAGAGTGGCATATGACTCTAGGACATGCAAACTGGTGTGTTTTAGACCGAAATGCAAACAACAAGATATTGAACTAGATGTAGCAATCGCTTTCCAGAATGTGTAGTGGATGATTTCCTCCTAAGAAAACTTAATTTCTGGTGCGAAAAAAATGAAAGCCTTTTGGTAGTCGACTTTAATGCACACTTAGAAGTAGCGACGTCAACAGTACCATTAAATTACAAACTATTAGAGAACACGACCGCTTTGCTTTATTACAGTACGTTTAAAATCCCAGCAGATAAGACCTACAGAACTCCTTGACTTGATCTTCACACACGGCGATGATGTCAGTCAAGTAAATTTTCTTCCACCTTTAGGGAGAACTGATCTTTCGGTCACCTTGAAGTTCATCGAAGATACGGTCTGTTAAGCAGTTGCGCCGGCCCTTCATAACATATAGAAGACATATACGAAACAGATCAGCTCTGAAGTATCAGCTGAAAACTGGATAATTGTCTAAGAGGCATAAGTAGAAATGACGTGGACTCATTTCTGGCACTTATGCAATAGAGTGACCCAACCATATATACCCCAGACAGTCCCGACGAAAGAAAAACATTACCATCCCTGGACTAATCGGGTCAATCGATGTTTACTAATACAGGAGAAACGTTTGAACATCGTCATCACCTTTAACTCAGCAACTACGATGGAAAGCTGCACGTCTGCACGAAATAAGAGTACAGTTACAATCCTGTAAGCTCAGTGAAAGTAGTTGGCCCAATCTGTAGTCAAGCAGCATAAGAGACTATTCTCGTAAATAAGTTATGAAGTAAAGACGCAGCACTGGACTCCCAGCCTAATTACGGAAGGGATTGACTCTCAAATGATGGAGGATGATCAGGACAAATCGTAAGCGAATACAAACTATTTCAAGACAGTTTTGGATCAGGACCCTCTCTTAGACGAAGAACTAGATCCAAATGCAAAGTCAGGAAATCGTCTGCTCGCTGAGAACCTCGATAAAGACAATGTAATCATGGCAATTAGTACTTTATATATGGAAAAACCAACAGGATCGGATGAACCACGCCCTAAAATCTTAAGACGAATTGCACAATATTTTACTGTTCCAGTAACTTCGATATTCAATGTCACTTGGTCAAGGTGACCTTAAAATCACGGTCCACAGCTGGGTGAGGGAAACCATATGAGCTTTAAATGGACATTCACTTAATCAGATGCTACTATGTTCACTACAGTATACACAAGCTTAGTGAGATTCAGACTCGAAAACTACGTTCAGGCTACAAGCCGCTGTTTAAAAATAGATTTGGATATCCTGACAAGGACAGAGGGCATCTATTTCAGTACTGTGGGGTTTACCAATATAAAGAGCAGTTTCAGAAGCTACACCATTTTGTTGTCTTACCGCAGATTAGGTGTTTTGATATACAGAATAACAACAAATGATATGGACCGGATATATCCTTGTATAACTACGGTCTTCGTTCGTTAAAAGTGCTGCTCTTTAGTAGACCTAATCTCAAAATTGTAGATTTGACATGATGTGACTGCCTAATCTATGAGATCTTGCGTAGAAGTCACTTCATTGTTTACACTGATTTATCGTATCGTGATAATCGGCAGTATAATGTCTGGAGTTTCTAAAGAACAGATTTAGGCTAAAGACAGAATGATATATAGAGACAGGCTATACAGAATGACCACATCTGTCAGGCTGAGCCGTGCCGTCCGATCGAATTGAAATAATTCTTCTCGCCTTCTCCATTGTTGACCTTCTCTTCGTGTCAATTGTTGAATATAAACCTTTTCAGTAACTATATGCTCGGTTTCAAAGATCGTGTGGTTAGGGTCCAATGCCACTAAATCCTCTCTTCTTCTTATCAGATCAGAACAACTCAGATGACATAGCAGGCGGGTAGAAAGGCCAAGAAAGCACAAAGTGCCAGAAGCATACTGGTTTGCAAGACGAATAACCAATTCTAGGAACCGGAAACACCTTAAAAGTTCTAAACATTCATAACTATGAAGATAAAAGATTTGTATACGTATACAACATCATATCTAAATAAAATTAAACATGACAACAGCATTTTTGCAAAAACAACGTCAACAAGAATTTCAAAAGAACAAAGTCCACAGAATATTTAAAGGTGTCAATATCTGAGATATAAAGAAGAGAGTAAAGAAATGTTATCATGTTTAAAGAATAGATTTTAATCATAATAAAAGTAAATTAAAAGAGAGAGTATAAAGAAGATGTGATAGAAGAGATTGACTTAAATACCTCAACCGATCATCATGACTGAAACATATTACACACATGATTATAATACTGGAGAGATAATAATGAAATAATAAAGAATAAAAGATACTTTGGTGATTCATTCTGTGAAATAGCAATAGAATTATTGATTTAACAAACGAAGTTGATCTAAGCATAAATGGAAAGCTTTCATCATGTATCTGAAAGAAAAAACAAAACAAAACAAAGTGACATTAACAATTATTACGGGATTTTATTTTGTATAACTAATCGATCAGTTCAATGAAATTGTAAACTGTTATGGTTGTTGTCAATAAGTCTACTGGTAATCTGTCATAATTTCTCTTATTATGATCCAGCTAATCTTATTGCTTAGTATTCTTGGATATCAATTCATTCGAACAGGTCCCCAAATCAGAACATAGATGAATAAGAAAGAAATTATATTCTAAATAACTAGGGTGGACGGAAGTAAGAAGCAAAATAAGAGAAATGTTAGTATGTTTATAGTTTTTTTTACATGAGATTCTAGTCTTTCTCCAAGTATCCACTAGCACTGATTGGATAATAAATAGCTAATCAGCGTACACCTGCACAATCCTGCAGGAAACATACTTTAATCCAATCTATATTTTGCTAATACAATCAAACACTCCGGAAATGTGATAGAGTAACAGAATGAACGATAATGTTAAAACAGATGGATAGACCTAAGAGTGAATATGAAGAGATGATGAAGCTGCAAATGTGTACCGACAGAGGTGCCTTGGAGAATGAGTTCAACAGATTGTGTTTGGTAGTTATCTATGCCCATTTGAAATAACAGTTTGTGTTTATAATGATAAGCCTCAAAAGATAGGTGTTTGCCATAGAGTGGCAAGTTTGAACCCATAAGTAATTGATTTCCAAAATATAGTATGTACTGAATTATATGAATCTCACAAAGGTTGTAAATACACCAAAGAGATATTTGTTAAGTATTACGCCGAAACTAAGTAATGGACTATGAGAAAACGTGCACCTTAGTATCGAGTCAGTAATTTTCATGATCACATTGAGAATTTTGACCATTATAAACTTCATTAGTAAATAAGACATAATTTTCTAATTAATAAATATTAAGGATTAGTACATATACGGTCAAACTTAAGATGATTTAAGAGATAAATTAAACAGCTTTGATGAAATCTTTATAAGTAATATATAAAACATTGTAAGCAAAGATGGATAGTGGCTAGCAGTGGAATGCAGGACGCACGTTTCATCCTATTTGGGACTTGTCAGCTGGATGTACCTGTATCTCAGAGTTGATGTTCTCTCTAGGATTCGAACCCAACGTCCTGGATTCCACTGTTAGCCACTATCCATGTTTGCTTACAATGCTTGTGAATTAAGTCAATACGCACAGTATGCACACATGTCAAATAGAGACTGACCACTTACAGTCCTAAACATCAATGGGAAGATTCAAACAAACAACACTAAATGAATTTAATATATAAAACAGTTAAAGAAACCGAAATAACGATTAAGTGAGATACAAAAGATTAAACAAGATTGTTTTTAATAGAAAACAATAACAACAGGAGAAGAATATGAAACTCATCTGTAAGCCTATCACTTCTATACTCAATTAAATTTGTTACACATATTTTTCGTAAAATGAGACAAATCAAGAACCAGATCTAGTATACATACATTGTCATGGTAACAACTATTTGTTCTTCGTGCAAACACATCTCTTTCAATTTATTATTCATTGATGTTATCATCAATTATTGTGCTTCTTGGTGTACTTTTTTCAATATATGAATTCATTGTTATAGTTGTACAGTTATTATTTGTTATTTTACAAAAAAATAGTTAAACTAATATTTTACTTACACTATGTATAGTGTATCTAACAAATTATATGGTTTATTTAGTAATAAAAACGAATCGGTAATCTATAGTTGTTATTTTTTTTCCTTATTATTCTTTATTCGAGAATTGATTGAAATGAGGTGGTGAGGTTTTTGTCCACTTCTTTTCATTGATTTTCCTTGACCTTAATGATTTTACCATGTCTACGATAGTTGTGTAACAGTTAGAGAGACTAGGAAAAAAAATCTCTCAATTGTATTGATTTTCTCATTCTTAACCAAATATAAACATTTTTTCACAGGAACCGATCCATATACTAGATATATGTGTGCATAATTGTTTGTTTAACTACTTGTTCACATAACTGTATAGGTAGTCTCATCTGTTCAACCGTTTTTTTTTAAAGAAAATTGTGTATAGACAAGAACATACACAGGGTAGATCTTCAACACTAATATGATGAGAAAAAATTTGTTGCACAATGATTTATTAAAAGATAGTTTAATTGAAATGTGCAAAACGGAAATATGATTAACCCAACTATATAGACATCAGACAGAAAATAATCACCAACATACAGCCCTCCACAGATGTGTTGGCTCAAATTGCAATACTAAATTAGCACGACGAGATGAAAGCAAAAAAACGAAATTGAGAAATAAAAACTAAATATTGTTTGAAAAGATAAAGGGGAAAAGTATGTATGAAAGGATACTAAAATTCAAGATAGAGAGGAAGACGAAGAGCACATGTGTGTGCCACATTGTGAACGGTTCTAAGCTGTCATGCAGTCCCCAATCACTGATAGCTGTTATCACATGGACCATAACAGGTAGGGAGCACAAATCTATATGGTACGGACCCAAACTCGGTGACTTTATGGACAGATGAGACGTTTTGGTTTGTCATCTCTTAGATTTCTTGCAACTTAATCCTACACTATCAAGTATCGATTATTGATGTAGGGGCAGTGGTTAGGCATACATAACTTATATCCTAATTACCTCAGTCGATGAAGATTAGCGACTTCACTATTATCTAAACATGAAGAATTGGCCTTGGTCAAACAAACGTATATTTAGTACACATATGTAGCATTTCGGTAAAGACTAGACGTTATGTGTAAAGTATGAGTGATAATGTATGAGATATGAAGGGATATTTTCAAATTCTAGTGGTCATACTGATGGTGAGACTTTTGAACATGAGATAGTTCATGCAATCAAAAGAAAACTATTTATTTATTTAGTGGATTTAATAACTATCCTACATGGATTTATATTTCACTGTTCCAAATATTCAACTATCAACGGCAGAATCTTAGGTCCGAACCTATCAAATCTATTTGAGCTGGTATGGATGAGTTATATCATTAGTTCAAGTATACGGGATGTTGTTTACATCCATTGATAGTTTAAATTAATTTATCCATAACTTCTAGAAATCTGCTAAAAATTCTAGTTAGGTTGAGGTGTCAATTGTAAAGAAGTTAGCTAAATAATTGCATGCATTTCATGATTGTCTATTGTGTTTAGTGTAACATATAGAATAGTAGACAAAAAAGGTAATGAAATAACATGTGGACTATAACCACCAACTGTTTCAAGCATTAACTAGAAAATACAGTAGCGGATGCGGGGGAAGAGAATATAAAACTTCCTTGTTGGAGTTCACATGATTTTACATACTAAGTTTGATGGATGATTGCTGATTATTGGAAAACAATGTATCCTAAAATCGATAATGTAACCTAACTTTCATTATATCTACTTTTTCCCTTTACTTATTCAATTTCTTTGTTTCGATACCAATTTATCATATGAAACAAAAGAGTTCCACAAATTTCTATAATGATTATCAGCCTGTAAGATCGAAAAGTGAAGCATCAAATTTTAATACTATGTAACGTAAGTATGATGAGGAAAGTTAAAAACCTTGTTTTAATATAGCTTAATGTATTCATATAATGCATCGTTTGTTTTACCTGCATCCACTCTTACAGTCTTTCTAACTGATCATTTTATTTTATTTAAACACATAAATATTGGTACAAGGAAACACCAGATACATATGCGCCGCACAAATCTCATTTGATTTGTGTGAGGGCTGAGATACTGCCCAGATGCCCAAACTGAAGCAGGTGGTTTTCTTAGGAGACCACACCCGGGGCCTTTGACCTAAAGGTCTAATCCACAAGGCAGTGGAGTATCGTAAGGAGATGCAGTCCTATGGTAGCCGGTGACCAACGATTGGTTCATACGCCATTTGTTCCTTCAGGATACTGGAGCCCATATTGACCACTGGTTTTGAATCAGGGTTTTACAACTCCCCTAGGTAGACCCTCCTTGTCCACCAACCGGGTTACAACGCCGGACATTCGTTTTTCGTCCTCTCAATTTCGTAAACAACACCCTCGTAACGAAAAGGCAGTGAGTAGGACTTCCTTGGCAGGGGCTATATACGCGTGGCAATGTGAGGGCATTTCGAGAGGGAGAGCGGGCTCTCCTCACTCTCGGCCGTACCAGAGCATACATCATACAATGATGCGATTAAGATACATTAGTAACTTAGTAATATCTATCCAAAAAACGAATCATATTAAATGTTAAGAATGTGGTCATGTAAAAATAAGCATAGTATTGAACATACTCATGTTTGAGGTCCAATAATTTTCTCAGTTGTACATCTGAAAAGCTGTCGTCATACAAGCAATTGAATTTAGATGAAATAGAATTCTTTGAATGAAAACAGGTTTTACTTGTTGAAAAGTTGTCAACTTTTTTTGATTTAGGGTGAAAATACGTTGCAGAATCCATACAACTGTTACAAGAATTTTTAATTACTTCTGAACAAGGAGTAATGTATTTTTCCAGCAGTTGGTCAATACGATCAATTGCTTTGACTAATAAAGACTCTAAATGCAAATGGTTCTCATGTACATTAAGTGGATTATTTTTCAGTATACTATTATTGTTGTTGTCATTCAATTGACTATTGTTCATAGGTTCAATAATATTCAAACTTTTCGATGTGACCAACTGAACTAAACCAGCCAATGCTTCAGCTTCTGAATGTGCACGAAAATAAACAGATCTGTGAAACAGAGAGATAAAAAAACCTATTATATAATGAGATAGTACGGATTGAAATTACTAATAGGTATGACCAAGATATACCACAAGACTAAACATTAAACCGTAATTTTAATAGGGTCACATTATTCGAAGACAGAAAGTCATAAACTTTAAATAAACAAGGTATACAATTCGATACCAAGCAGCAGCTACATAGTTACATTCCGTATTGATTTTGTCAACATAACGGCTCATTATTCGCTAATTTCTGGTTTTTATGAAAACAATTTACCCATAAAAATCTTCAGTTTACTAACTGAAAGCAAACAATTGACATGACTTCGTGCGGTACACACTTTTCTCACTAAATAACAAGGTTATGTCATTATAATCTGTTAGCTAGCAGGCACAGTTCGAAGGAGAGGTAGTGTCCAAATAAGAAAATATGAGACAATTAGACTTGTTATTATTGAGTACCTAACAATAACAATTATACAACACTAATCAGACAACGTAATTCTCTCTCTCTCTCTCTCTCTCTCTCTCTCTCTCTATATATATATATATATATATATATATATATATATATATATATATCCATCAGTTATTGATTTTATTATACCCATGAATAAACTTGTTGTTAACCAGTCGGTTTGTTTGGATACACATTTAATTCGATCGGTCAGTTGGTAATGTCTGAAGATTATAAAAAATATATAGTAGTGTGATAAGCGAAGTCACTCATAGTTTCAGTTAATCTTAAGTTCTGAGTACTGAACGAGTTCCTTGAAAACAAAGCAAACAGTATGATGAGATAGCATGGAAGTGGTTAATTAAAAATGAACAGTGTCAGATTTGTACTGGCTTAAGCTGTTCAGGAAAAACAAATTAGGAGTGAATGCCCCAACAGATACATCTTTTAACTCCCTCTTAATTTATACCTTTGAAATGTTGACATATTGTTTTGTGAGAATAATTTTTCTTTCGTACTAATATGCTATCAGACTTATACTTTGTATAAAATTCCGAACCCCTTGACGGTTTAAAGATTATTAATGTAGTAAGTTGCCAAGTAACATTTCTCGAGCCTCATCCACAGCTCGGAGCATGCACTATGAAAAGATAAGACAATGAGTAACAACATGGAGAAAACAAGCTCATTTTCCGAGAAAATAAAGCTAGATAATAAACAAGATAAGTAGTTTTTATGACAGTATTTAATATCACTTTTTTAACAGTATAGATGTAAGACTCTGTACATAATTGACAAAAGTAAAACCAACCGTACAAAACTCTACAGAATATCAAATCATGAACTACCAAATATATACTGAACGTCAATGGTACCACATAATGCTAAGATATCAGAAATAACTGGTTATTAGATTGGAATGTACTTATTTTCCTTCTTATTACTTGTAACTAAAACATAGTTAAAGTCCTTACAACATATGTACTGTTCCTAATATTTATACTCATCCCTCATTACTATGAGTGCAAACTTAACTGCCTAGTCGATTGACTTAGGTTTGACAACATTTGCAACATACTCGTTCATAGAGTGAAACTTCACTCCTCATTACCTACTGAAATATCAAAGAAGAAATAAAAGTCCGTTAATGAGCTATATTGTAACGTGCTTTGGTGCTAAATGTTAAAAAGTCATAATATCTGAAATATTTTTGAAACTGGCAACGCTAATAGCCAAGCTACATTTGGAACCTTGAAATAATCCGTATCCTCTTACTGAGAAAGGAATTCGCTTAGCGCGGTAGTGAAGTCAGAAACGTTATTGTTGATCAATCCAAACTTTCAAACATAGAAATAATTAATTTACATCTGGAAGTCGACTATATTAACACTCCTTTCGTCAATTGTTCTAAATATCCAACACTCATGACGTTCTACCTACAAAAATGCTCTGGTAAGACTGGAGGTGAAAGAATCAACTCTTCCTCTTGAAATGCTCTCATATTGTAGCGAACGACTACTCAGTTGGGATAACCAATCTATTATTTAATGCAAAATTACAGAAATCCTTTGTAAAATATGAAAAATATACATTAAATACATTATCTGCGCATATTGCTTTGGTTGTCCTTTACATGTTTCATGATTCTTTAAATTTTGCTGTTATTACAATTACTTCCTATTTACATTCTTGTTGTCTTTAACTCGATTTTTTGATCTGATGCCAAGTATTCCACTTATGATTGGTGTGACATACTACTTATATCTGTCAGCATAGGTAGCATACACCATAATATGACCATGCATTTATAAAGCAGTCCTACTAACTACCTTCTTGCGGTGAGGGGATATTATTTACGAAAAAGAGAGGATGAAAACAGAATGCATGGGACCTAGACCGGGTTGATGGGTACGGAGGATTTACATAGGGAAGTTGGAAAACCCCGACTCCAAACCAATTGTATATACAGGCCCCAGAATTGTGAGTGTACAAATTGCATATGAACCCGATTTTGGTCATCGGTTACCGTGTGATTGCACTCCACGACGTTGTCTTACTACCTTGTGAACTAGGCCCTGAGATCAAAGGTTCGGAGAGTGGCCTCTTGAGAAAACCACCTGCTTCAGTTTAGGCATCCGGACAGTATCTCAGACCACTTAATAATTTTGTCATGAATTCTAGTTTTAGTGCTCAGTTGTACTTGGTTTTATGTAAATTAAATCAAAACAGATTTGTGGTGCTAATTTGTAATACAAACGGACAAATAACCAAGGTGACTAGTCTCCCTTGTTTACTGGAAGTTTCTAAAATTTAAAACATTGGAGCCCGAAGTAGTCAGTATTTAACACGTCGGTTCAGTGGATGCGACTCACTAATATAAAGGATAGTAAATAATATAAACATCGGACACTACATATTTATATCAAGTTATATTGTATAATTGCATATAATTGTATGTCTTATATTACCAGTCGAAAGTCACGAAAATTAGCATACTGAGGGACCAACTAGCTGTATGACAACGTCTCTGAATGGAACACCAAGTAACAAACTCGATTTTCATCTCTTTCTGCCAATAAACAGAAAAGTTAAGTCATCTATCCTGGACTAATTACTTCAAGTAACGAATAAATTGTTTATATTTAAACAGTATCGCAGTTGAGAAAATGTTGTAAACGTTTATTACCCATTCTATAATTATAGAATAATAATAATGAAGATGGAAATAATGATAATTTACTCACCTTAAGTAATTTAGTCGTTTTTCAAGTACACAAGAGAATTCATTAATTTCAGCTACAATATCCGAAGTAGTTGGACAATGACCAGATACTTCATTTGAAACTTTATCCGTATCAGATACCAAGCTGGTTGATAAAAGTGAAGTTAATTCATCTAATGATCCATCACGTAATTCATTTTTATTCATTTTCTTGTTATATTCAATATTCTCTGCATTCCAAGCTAATATACTACTTGTATGAATAGAATCATAACTATTATTGGTTTTCTCATTAGACACAAGTTTGTTTAAAGATTTCCGAGAAAAATGGGAATTATTATGCTCTATAGGATAATTTTGAGTTGTATTATGTGAGTCTGGAAAAGTATTTAGTTCAAGAAGACTTGAAGGAGGTGATGTATTAGACTGAAAAGGAACTGTTTGTGTAACTGTTAGACTACGACCACGACCACTACTTGAACTATCATGTTTATCACTAATTGACTTATGAATTAATTCAGCAGAGGATGAGACACTTCTGTTATTAATATTGTTTGAGGATGTAGAAAGATGAACTTTATGTTCATGAAATGATGATCTCATGTGTGAAGAGATTGATGACTGATCATTCAACACAGTAGATTCAGCAGAAATAACCTAATTAAGAGGTAGAACAAAAAATTATTAGACGAAAGAAACACCTGTACGTCTAAGAAACGCTGGAGAAGATGAACATACAAAATATGGGACTGCAGATAAGATAATCTGTTACTCATCTTTTTGTTGCCCTGATATTTAATTGAGCATTATCGTATTTCATGCTTATATTTATCAGTTTATTGGTAAGGGCTTTTTTCTTTTATACATCTAAATTATATTTAAGTGGCAGCTTCAGTCAATCTACCTTTTTTATAGTTGAAATCATGTACTCTATAACAGTAATTTTCTATTTTGAAGACATTTTTATACATGTATTAACTGTGTAAATAAGTCCTACGAGTTTTTCATAATCAGTATTTTGTCATTCTACTTCTATGCTAGTTTACATCCCGTTAACATGATAGAATTACATACTTTCCCTTTTTCAAAAACATGAGACTTCTATTTTCAGTTTGTAAGCAAAAGAAGACAACTCTTAACATTTATAAATACCCAGAATTCAGTTACCATTAGTGTTCTTTCCCTATTGAAATTTATAAGGATAAAGAGTAGCATAAAAATCTCGGCTGTTACATTCGTTTTCCAGAATCGAGATCTGTTAGAAAACTGTTAGTCTGACCACTTCAACAATGCACTTATTTTTCCATATGCAATGAACTGAGGAGTCGAAATCCTGTCGATGATAATGGGAAAAGGAAACTAATGGTTTGAAATATTGATAGTTTATTAAGCCAACTGGATTGTTGAGTACAATGTATCACATTTTAATAAGTCATAGTTGTTAGATAATCTGAATAGGGTTTGTCAATCCAAGCTCAATACTTTAGTAATTTGCACACAATTAACACAAGAACAGTTTATTGACAGAAAATCGAGTATGGAAATTCAATAACAGAATCCATTCAAACACTGATTTTATAACCGATGCAATTAATACAATAAAAGTTGAACCTAATAACGAGTAGATTCCAGATGGTCAACTTAAGAATCAGTTTGTTGTTGATGATTTCAAACCTATGTATAAGTCAATAATTATTTGAAGAAACAGTGATTGGGAAAACTTAAATTCAAGTCCCGATTCTTTCGGTATAACACATAAAGGATTTTACTAAATAAGTAAAATTGATCAAATTAGATTTTCAGGACATTTATCCATATGAACTAACCGAATTGAAATTTGTTGTTATATTTTAGTGTCACGCTGCTGAGCACTATTATTTGTTTGAACTGTCAGAAATTGAATAGAATAACTTCGTTATTACCATCTAATAAGAGCCATTTAATTTAAGGGTTCAGTGTTTCACTGATAGACAAAACAATCAGAAAAAAGTGTAACTTACAGAATTTCTACTTCCATAAACTTCCTTATTAGGTGAACGCGTTAAATGAGAGCCAGAATATTTTAATTTCTTGAATTCATCAATTGGAGAACTAGGCATACATTGTTGCATGTTTAAAGAATTCTCTAAACTAGGTAAAACATCCGCATCGGAAAAATTAGAACTATGAAGAAAAAACAAAAGAAAATCATTAAAACATAGGAATATAAAATAAGATTCAAATCAATAAAGTAGCTATATGTTTCATCTATGATGAATATAACACATAATTACAAGAAAATGATAATAGATATATGACATTGGGAAAAGAAATCAGACTAATCATTTGTGTACTTAACATTGGCAGAAAAATTCTCTACAGCTGATTTACACAATATAAAAAATAAAAAATTTTTTTGTCTAGGAGAGAAAATCTAACAAGTCAAAAAAGTAACCAATCAAAATTTAGAATAAAATAACCAATGAAAATTAATCTATATAGAATAAGATCGTATGAAAGATGATGAGAATTTTTCCTTTTTTTTCTTGTTTTATCTCCATCGATTGTATTTCTACTGAAAATATAAATAAGTTTCTTTATTTAAAATAATGATAGGATGTAAACGATTTTTCTATAGCCTAGAATTAGAAATAAGATTTCATTGAACAAATATTAGGTTCGAATAAAGGTTTCATTCCACAACATAAACAATCCTATTGCACTATCTATCCTATAAGCCATTTCAATATATTTAACTAAATTAATTTAGAACATATATATAGAACGATAGTAAACGAAAAAATATTGAAGTGTTTGGTAACTATTAACATAATTAACCCAATAATAACATTTAAATCCAAGATCATATGGTTTTTCATCAACCATGATATTTAATTAACTGCTTTAAAGAGAAGTTGCAACCAAGTTGGAAGTAAGGATAGATATCCATTTATGAACATATAATGTGATAAAGATATATTGTAAATAAGTTGATGTTGAAAAATCGGAACAAATGATTTCGAGCACAGTAGCTTAATGATAGCATTTCGAATCTCGTTAACCAATATATATATGTATTATGAAGCAAAAAATCTCCACCGATTTAGTAATAATTCCTTCTAGGGACATCGTGGATTGACCTTAGTTAGATGACTAGTGAAAACCAAAACGCGCTTGACATCTGTTTTGTTCTAATGTGTGACTATTCGGCAGTGCACATCCATAGCCATACTGGGGATCAAACCAAGAGCCTTCAGGTTTCGTGGCGAGCGCCTCACTTTCGAACGAAGGAGTTAGACACGAGGCTTGAAAGTTCTGATTTCGATTACTAACGTGATCATGAATGTGGACACTAAGATGAAGCAGATATCCAGTGCTTCCTGGTTTACAGTGGTTGTCTTAATAAGGGTATTTTAGGCGAAACTACAGAATTTAACAATCTCCATAGACTTTCATAGAAAAATAATAAACCAGTATACTTTTTAGACTTGGATATAATATAATCGAAAAGGAAACAACATAGGTCGATAACATGATTGGATCAGATGACAAGAATCACCTAAAATTTTAAGTTTGTACATTTACTAAATGTCTATTCTTTCAGGAAAGGAATATGACAGTTATGAGCAAACTGATTTATGACGTGACAAAAAACACAGTTGTAGTGGGTAAAATGTTTGAATTTCAGCTAATGGAATACTGATTTCAATCCCATAGTGGTGGAAAATTAAAAACAGACAAGACAAAAAATAAAGAAAATGTCGGGAATGATAATCTGTTCAAGACATTGAGGCAGATTTATTTTCAAAGTCAAAAAATCAACTAAACGTGAGTAGAACACAAAAATGACCTTGAAATGCATCGTGGCATAGTTGTTAGGAATGAAGGAAGATATTTATAGTACATTCACTTTTATGAAATTATTATGAGACTTCAATGCGAATAATTTATTATTATTCAGATCGAAAATCTTGGTTCAAAGAGGTACGAAGTAATGAAACATACAAGAACTAAGATAACAAGTTATCCAGTTCTATAAGCTTTAAAATCCCTCACAGAATGTTAAACTAATCTAAATGTTCTTGATAAAACTTGGTATTAAATCACTGTCGAATTTTGCATTTCTAGAGAAATTATTCTAGGCTCGCTTTTTTGTAATAATACATGTAAGAAGGTATAGAATCAAATAAGGTTAGCTTACGGGACGATCTCTAGATATCCATTCATTGCGTTTGGTGTTGCTGGTGGTGAAGTGTCTGTATGTACCTCTAAGAAATTGGAAAGACATGAAGCAACAGGATAACTCGGTTTCACATTATCCGATTGGACTGCAAATAAATTTGATTTCTGTAATAATGAATTGACATTATCCAGGGGTACATAAGGGTTTCGAGTTTGGAAAGATGCTGGAGTCCGCTTCACTGGTGTACTTTGATCTATAGATTGACCAGATTGGTGGAAAGATGTAGAAAACATGGGTGCACAAGTCATACTATGACGTGGTAATTCAGGAGAAGTAGACAACTGGCATTCTGAAAGATTTATTTCAATTAGAGTAAACAAATAAATAGACGACATAGAGGGGAAAAATATTAACATTGTCTAGTCAAACATACGTACCGAAGTTAAATAGAATTAAAAAATAAAATAAAAACCGAAAGACGAGAGGTAAGTAAAAAACTGTTTTGTGACTGTTTTCTGAATATTTTGTTTGAAACTTTGCTTATTATACATTTTGGTATACAGCAACAAATGGACAATTATATATAGTTGAAATCATGAGTCAATTGAAGCTAGACCACCATGGAAAACCTGGAAGCACTGGATGGACAATTAGTTAAATTCAAACTGGGTGATTTCATCTCATTCACATGCATTACACATGTTCGTTTACAAATTTCACTGTCAAATAACAGTTGAATACTAGTGAATCCAATCGAACAATTACATATACAGTCATGTGAACAAGTAGTTAAACAAACAATTATGCACACATATATCTAGTATATGGATCGGTTCCTGTGAAAAAATGTTTATATTTGGTTAAGAATGAGAAAATCAATACAATTGAGAGATTTTTTTTCCTAGTCTCTCTAACTGTTACACAACTATCGTAGACATGGTAAAATCATTAAGGTCAAGGAAAATCAATGAAAAGAAGTGGACAAAACCTCACCACCTCATTTCAATCAATTCTCGAATAAAGAATAATAAGGAAAAAAAATAACAACTATAGATTACCGATTCGTTTTTATTACTAAATAAACCATATAATTTGTTAGATACACTATACATAGTGTAAGTAAAATATTAGTTTAACTATTTTTTTGTAAAATAACAAATAATAACTGTACAACTATAACAATGAATTCATATATTGAAAAAAGTACACCAAGAAGCACAATAATTGATGATAACATCAATGAATAATAAATTGAAAGAGATGTGTTTGTACGAAGAACAAATAGTTGTTACCATGACAATGTATGTATATGGTTTGACTACCATTTCGCTGGGTATATAAAAGTATAACATAGAATTAGATTTCTCCACATTGACAGCTAATTAAATGAGCTTAGAAAACGGCTTTTAGAATTTTGCTATTCATTTATGCATGAATCGAGACCCAAATATAAAATAAATATGAACCAAGGATTCACATATATCCTTAAGTACACCATTTTCGACTGATCAAAGAATAGATTAGCTTGACAGCATATCCTACAGTTCAAACGTGCTACATAACAGAAATGACCATTGCTGAAACGTCTTTTGTAAACATAAAGCTTTTACTGCAACACAAATGGAGTATCTGTAAAAGTATGTCTATGACGAGGCTAAATAAAAGTCAATCAGTCAGTCAGCTACAACGTAGGACCAGGCACATTTATGCATCGGTCCAAGTTGCCATACCTCGTTAGCACTACAAGATGAACACCGGATTCATAAAAGTAGTTAATTCAGTGGTGGTAGTTTATAAAAGATAGGTTGTACATAAGGATATGGTATAGGAAGGAAGTTATGAAGCAATTTTAATCTTAAGGTTTAAGGGAAGATAACGAGTGTACACACCTGCGCCATTGTGATCGATTCTGAGCCATGTCATTCAGTCTCGAACCATTGGTTACGATAGACACGCGGACCTCGACCAAGTAGTCTGCATCTACCAATATGGCTCAGACTAGAAGTTAGTGACTACAAACACTGATGCCATGTTTTGGTTTGGCCGCCCCTAACTCTCTTCCAACAATCCCCAGTACTAGTCCTCATAGAGCGTCGTGGTAATCGATGTTCAGGCATACGTAACAATTGGCCCAACCATCTCAGTCGATGAAGATTCATCACCTCATCAACTGATTTACCATCATTTCCTAATACCCTGTGTCTAACTTCACTATTACTTACCCGGTGATCCCAGCGAATGCGAGCAATATTTCCAAGACATCTGTGGTCCAATACTAGTAACTTACAAGTATCTTCTACTCTTAATGGTCATGTTTCACAGCCATAAATTAGAACAGAGTGAACTGCTGCGCAGTATACTCATCATAGGTCACGTAAGTTGGCAAAAGCCAAACGAGCGTTTTGAGTCCGTGCAGAAATTTCGTCAGACACCAACCCATTAGGGCTGATCAGACTTCCAAGATAAGTGAAGTTGTCCACGCGTTCGACTACTTCACTCCCTATCCTTAGTTCAGGTGTTGACGCAGGCCAGTCCTGGAGTAACAATTTACATTTAGATGGGGAGAAACGCATCACAAACATCCCGGCGTTATTACTTAGTTCTAACAGAAGACTCTGCACTTTGTCAGCGCCTTCACCAAGCACAACTACGTCATCTGCGTATTTTAAGTCGATTAGTGGACCCCTAACTCCGCCTGTAGCTCCTCTGGGGGTTACTGCCGGTCCCAAGCTCATGTAAAGGAGGAGGGTTGGGCATGGGGTTAGCGACCCCATCCCGTAGAAAATCAACTCGCTAAAAAAACGCTAACCAGAAAAAATCATTCAAACCATTTAAACTCTGCCCTGGGAGTAGAAGGAATAATTATGACGTCTCATGATGAAAGCTGAGTTCCTTCGGAAGTCATGAGGCCGATGCACCTTCTTACAACCAGAGCAACAATTTTTATAGGTACATGGAATGTCCGAACAATGTGGGAGACCGGAAGAGTTTTCCAAATTGCTGCAGAAATGAGAAAATACAACCTGGAGGTTCTTGGAATCAGCGAAACACATTGGAAGCAGGTTGGACAACAACGACTGTCTTCAGGAGAACTTCTGTTACACTCCGGTCATGAAGAAGAAAATGCCCCACATACACAAGGAGTTGCATTGATGCTGTCCAGAAAAGCACAAAATGCACTTATAGGATGGGAATCTCATGGACCAAGGATCATCAAAGCCTCCTTCAGAACAAACAGAGAGGGCATTACAATGAACGTCATCCAATGCTATGCGCCTACCAATGACTACGATGAAGACGCTAAAGACCAATTCTACGATAGGCTGCAGTCGATCGCCGAGAAGTGCCCAACCAAGGACCTGACAATTCTGATGGGAGATCTCAATGCTAAGGTTGGAATGGACAACACTGGATACGAAGACGTCATGGGACAACATGGACTGGGAGGAAGGAACGAAAATGGTGAGAGATTTGCAAACCTATGTGCCTTCAATAAACTGGTCATAGGTGGCAACATATTCCCACACAAAAACACACACAAAGCCACTTGGATTTCACCGGATCACACTACACAGAATCAAATCGACCATATCTGCATCAACAAAAAGTTCAGGAGGACGATGGAGGATGTGAGAACCAGGAGAGGAGCTGATATAGCATCCGATCATCATTTGCTGGTCGCCAAGATGAAACTAAAACTTAAGAAGCACTGTACAACGGCGCGCACAATATCACAAAAGTTTAATACGGCCTTTCTTCGAGATGCTGACAAACTCAACAAATTCAACATAGCCCTCAGCAACAGGTTCCAGGCCTTTGATGACCTACTCAATGGAGTGGGGACTACCATGGAGAGCAACTGGAAAGGTATCAAGGAGGCAATCGTTTCAACGTGTCAAGAGGTTCTGGGCCAAAAGAAGCACCATCACAAGGAATGGATCACTGTTGGTACACTGGATAAGATTGAAGCAAGGAGGAACAAGAAGGTAGCAATCAATATCAGCCGAACCAGAGCGGAAAAAGTCAAGGCACAAGCCGAATACACAGAGGCAAACAAGCAAGTGAAGAGGAGCATCAGAACCGACAAACGTAAATATGTTGAAGATTTAGCAACGACAGCGGAAAAGGCTGCAAGAGAAGGAAACATGAGACAATTGTATGATACAACAAAGAAACTTGCTGGAAATTACCGTAAGCCAGAAAGACCAGTGAAAAGCAAGGAAGGAAAAGTAATCACTGACATTGAAGAACAACGAAATAGGTGGGTAGAACACTTCAAAGGACTCTTGAATCGACCAGCCCCACTGAACCCACCCAACATCGAAGCAGCACCCATGGACCTCCCAATCGATATTGGCCCACCAACAATTGAAGAGATCAGCATGGCCATTAGACAAGTCAAGAGTGGCAAAGCAGCGGGACCAGACAACATCCCGGCAGAGGCACTGAAAGCAAATGTAACAGCAACTGCCAAGATACTCCACATCCTCTTCAGTAAGATATGGGACGAAGAACAAGTACCAACAGACTGGAAAAAAACTTCTGATCAAGATACCAAAGAAAGGCGATCTCAGCAAGTGCGACAACTACAGAGGCATCACTCTTCTCTCAATACCAGGAAAAGTCTTCAACCGAGTATTGTTAAACAGGATGAAGGATTCCGTGAACGCCCAACTTCGAGATCAACAAGCTGGATTTCGTAAGGATAGATCGTGCACAGATCAAATCGCAACTCTGCGGATCATTGTGGAACAATCAATCGAATGGAATTCATCACTCTACATCAACTTCATCGACTACGAGAAGGCATTTGATAGCGTGGACAGGACGACAGTATGGAAGCTTCTTCGACACTACGGCGTGCCTGAGAAGATAGTCAATATCATACGGAACTCCTATGATGGACTAAACTACCAAATCGTCTACGGAGGACAACTCACCGACTCGTTTCAAGTAAAGACCGGTGTTAGGCAAGGTTGCTTACTCTCACCCTTTCTCTTTCTCCTGGTCATCGACTGGATCATGAAGACGTCAACATCTGGAGGAATGCACGGGATACAGTGGACAGGCAGGATGCAGCTTGACGATTTAGACTTCGCGGATGATCTGGCTCTTCTATCACAAACGCAACAACAAATGCAGGAGAAAACGACCAGTGTGGCAGCAGTAGGTCTCAATATAAACAAAGGGTAAAGCAAGACTCTCCGATACAATACAATATGCACCAATCAAATTACACTTGACGGAGAAGCTTTGGAGGATGTGGAAACCTTTACATATCTGGGCAGCATCATTGATGAACACGGTGGATCAGATGCAGATGTGAGGGCGCGGATCGGCAAAGCAAGAGCAGCATACCTACAACTGAAAAGCATCTGGAGCTCAAAACAATTGTCAACCAACACCAAGGTTAGAATTTTCAATACAAATGTCAAGACAGTTCTACTGTATGGGGCGGAGACGTGGAGAAATACGAAAGCCATTATCCAGAAGATACAAGTGTTCATCAACAGCTATCTACGCAAAATACTTCGGATCCGATGGCCAGACACTATCAGCAATAAGTTACTGTGGGAGAGAACAAACCAGATTCCAGCAGAGGAAGAAATCAGGAAGAAGCGTTGGAAGTGGATTGGGCACACCTTGAGGAAATCAGCTAATTGCGTCACAAGACAAGCCCTAACATGGAATCCTGAAGGTCAACGGAGAAGAGGAAGACCAAAGAACACATTACACCGAGAAATGGAGACAGACATGAGAAGAATGAACAAGAACTGGATAGAACTAGAAAAGGAAGCCCAGAACAGAGTGGGTTGGAGAAAGCTGGTCGGCGGTCTATGCTCCATTGGGAGTAACAGGCGTAAGTAAGTAAGTGGACCCCTGGTAGGAGATCAATTCCTGAAAATTCAGTCGAGCCAGTGAACATCACTTGAAGTTGATAATTCCGATGACAGTTTGTTATAAGCTCTGACTTGAACAGTAGTAGTAAACAGGCTTCAAAATGTTAATGCACTTCATTGGCACACTCTTCAATAGCAAGCATTGGCACGGTTCATTTTCACTGGAATTCTAAAAAAACTAATTGGACTGCGTAAATTATGTGCAAAGGCAGACAAAATGTGTAAGTGATTATCCATGAGGTCCATTGATCAACCTAAAATATTATTAATTTCTGTTAATATATAATTTCCAATGAGTATCATACATCTTTGTTAGAAACGCTTTATTTCTCGAGAATTCGACCCACATCATTTGAGAAGTGAGTTTTTCAATAACTACTGATTCAAATTTTTAAACTGTGTAGATATATTTAGGTCAGAGACTTTGGAGACTGCATCCTGTAAGTCTGGTTCACAAGGGAAAATGAAATCTGGGTACAGCATAGCACCGAAAAATAAGATTCCTCATTAAGCATGACAAAATTTAGTAACAGCTTTGTAATATTTAAACCATACCACAGAAACTCGGAATATGTGTAGTGAAGGGAGGTGTAATATTTAATAGCCAACCTCGTTTGTGGGAAGGAGGAATAATAACAGATATTGTTCATTTGCAGAAAAATTACTTCCCTCACATCTTATTATTCGGAGACACGACTTCTCCCTTTTGCTTAAGATTATTGGTTCCCTGTTCTGCAACCAAGTAGCTTGGAATTATAAGATCGAAACCCCCCAAATGCCCTGGTATGGTCAAAGGTGAGGAGAGTCTACTCTGCCTCTCAAAATGCTCTCACATGGCCACGCGTATATAACCTCTACCAGGCAAGTCCTACTCACTACCTTCTCGCACCACGGGTGATGTTTACGAAATTGAGAGGACGAAAAACGAATGTCCGGCGTTGTAACCGGGTTGATGGACAAGGAGGGTCTACCTAGGGGAGTTGAAAAACCCTGATTCAAAACCAGTGGTCAATATGGGCTCCAGTACCCTGAAGGAACAAATGGCGTATGAACCAATCGTTGGTCACTGGCTACCATGGGATTGCATCTCCTTACGATGCTCCACTGCCTTGTGGATTAGACCTTTAGGTCAAAGGCTCCGGGTATGGTCCCCTAATAAAACCACCTGCTTCAGTTTGGGCATCTGGGCAGTATCACAGTCCTCACACAAATCAAATGAGATTTGTGCGGCGCATATGTATCTGGTGCTTTCTTGTACCAATATGTGTTTAAATAAATAAAATAAAAAGTCAATTAATATATGGTCAGGATTATTTTGTTGTGATTATTAATCGCTATTTTAGGCTGAATTATCAACGTATTGGGTAGTCGGGTTTCGGAGTTCAAATGTCTGTCGGTAACTTACGTCTTTCACCTCTCTCAATCTGTCGGAAAATATGGAGTAGTACGCAACTTCAAGGACTAAAATAAGGTTGCGTAGTGATCGAGAAGTTGGAAAATTAGTAAGATAAGACCAAGTATGTAAAAAATAATTATTCATTTGAGGAGTATCGAAAAGGTGAAAAGTAGATTCAAAACATCATGGTGAAAAATGACTAAAAATTTAAAAAATATCAAGATTAATTATCAATAAGCGACTGAGTGTGCGAAAAAATTGGGTATTAAAGTCGTGATGACAGCTTGGCGTGACGCTTTGCATACATGACTCAGGTTTGAAGTGATGAATGAAAACAAGACAAAGTATAATGGTGGAGCAGTATGAAATAAATACATTCCGACAAATAGTGAGCTGTTAGTTGAGATAAAGTACAGACAAATTATTTTCTTCGTTGTCATTATTCACCATGTTAATGGGTGGACTGAGACCGCCCGGGTGACCAAACCGAGAGAGGCAGTTTTCTTAAGGGCTCACTTTCCGATACTTTGACTTAAAAATTCGGTCCACAAGGCCGTGAAGCAACAGTAGATGCAGACCTGTGGCAATCAGTGACCAACAGATTCCAACACCATTCGTTTAGTCAGGACCCTGAAGCCAATGCGCACCACTGGATTCAAAGTCTCGTAATCCCTTTAGGTGAATCCATCGTATATATAAACCCGACCTACCCTGACAGAGGTTACAAACGCGTGACCATATGAGCACAGCTACAAAGGGAGAGGGCTCTCTCCATCCTCTGCTGTACCAACTCATTTGGGGGGGGGAGTTAGATGGTAGACGAATGTAAAATATGACGTTAGTATTGATGTATATTTAATACGTAAACTAGAAACCTACAGGAAACTATTACGAATCGCGTGAACGCGAGAGTGAAGGATGGTTCAGAATCCCTGTTACTATCTGGCTGTGTATTTCCCACAAAGGGACATCAAAAACCATTTTTGGGAAAGTCCGTAAGATTGTAAGCAAAGTGAGAAACAGAACATGGATAGTTTTAACAGGTGAACATCACAACTATATAAAGAATTCTGATTGGTCCGGTTTATAGAGGTGAATAAACCATCGAGAATCCCGTGGCAACAATATTATAAAAAAAATTTTTTAGACACTACTTAAGCCGAGATCGATCAACTTGACAAGTGGGAAAGATATTGGTAAGCAAGGTATTAAACTTTTATTATATGAGAACGCATGCAACTTACCCAGAAATTCCTTCGTCTTTGAAGTTAATTTGGAGTTGGAAATCAAGCCGCCAGAACACTCAAAAGACGACTCACAGGTTGATATTCGAAGCTCCAAAAGGTTTGATTCACGACAATAGGCGATGAATGCAGCGAGAAGAACAAGGAAATCTGACAATGCTCTAGGTTCTCCAACCATAAGATCTTCTGGTACAATGTGATCCAGGTCCACTCCTATTTCCTCAGACAATTTTAACACAATAGCCTCGAAATTTTCTATACATTCAGTCTCAGTGCGACCACGACGAGGCACTAATGATCATAAGAAATTTGTTTGCAACTTACAAATGTCGCTACCAAATAAGACAACTGCTAAGTCAAAGACGAAAGCAGGAGTAATTTCATGAATATTTCGAATGTAAGGCTCGACGTTAATTAAGGATAGAGCGTTGTTAGCGATCCGAGTCAACTCTTCTAAATAACATTGGAAGATTATTCAAACACGTATAAAGCATACCTGATCCACATTTACTATCTTCTAACCATTTAAACGTCATTACAGGTCAAAAATCCTACACAAGATGAGCGCGGCGCCTATTTACAAGGACGGTAATCGAGAAGAAGAAAAACAAGGTACTGTATAGTCTACAAATTGAAATGAGTAGATCAAAGCTATGAGTCTCCATGATTTTCTTTTCCAAGGAAAGGTATTGGATTTCTTTTTTAAAACTTTATCTATATCAGCTTACGCCATCGGTCTCAGACGATTGGAAAAAAACTAATTTTTGCTTCGATTTCTGCGTCCAGAGCATTTGAAGGAAAAACAATAATCTCTGATATTGCTGGCGTTTTAGGCCTTTTAGGTGGTTAATAGGAAATTTTCCACTAAGTATCACTATCTGGATTTCTATTGGTTTATAGTAGGTAGCTTAGATTTACACTGATTGAAGGAAATGGATGATCGACAGTTTCTTCTGGAATTCTTGGCGTCATGTCACGAATGATTTAGACTTCTTTCTGATTATCACTTCAAACTGTGGATGCAAGTTTGAATTCTGACTTTCCCAATCATATAATTCTGAATGACCGCTTAACAACAACAGGTCGACGGCTTTTGCAGGACAATATCCCCCACATCTAAGAGTCACTGAAAGTCATTTTCACGGTGACTGATGCTTTTTAATTTCTTTTACTCGGAATTATCGTTGGTGATTCGGTGGAAAAGTTGGTGGTCAGCTGGCAACTATTTGCACTTGGAGACACTTACCACGACTTGCCGAATGATAGACTATTTTTCCAAATTCTTCGAATTTTTTCACAGCTTTGGGCTATACTATTAGTTTTCAATTGATTTCCATATCTTTGAACCATCGACACGTAGGTCTCTTCCCACCATTTGACTGAAAAATCAGTCAAACTTACAGAAAGAACAATGTTTTTATCCAGATACTCAAAATAATTCTTTTTAAATGATCCTCGAAATCTTGAAAACCTGGTTAAACTTCCCGAATTTTCATTTTCAGGCTCAATGTTCATACCTAAAGTCCTCTCCCTATTACGTACTAAATTACCTTGGGTTACAGGTTGTTTACAATGCACACTCGAATGATGAGCTGCGAATGATGGTAATTGTTTTAGTAAACTATGGATTATTTCATAAGGTACTATAGATCCTCTGAAATAAAATCGGTTTAAAATTTCGAAGACGCAGAGAAATTGAATAGCTAAGTATCCAAGCTTTTCCAAGGTCGTCTCTTACCATTTATGGTATCGAATCATACTCTTACAGTTGTGAGACAGCTTTCCAGCCAATAGTCCTCGGGTTTATTCAGTTGAACAGGTGTATTTAACTTTCCATGGAGTCCTTACCAAGCCTTTTTACTTATCTGACTTGCATTATCAAGCTTTACTCCATACAATTATCTGGATATCTGCCTAACATAATGTCATTGGACAGTAAGTTATTCTTGACATTAGTGACCCTATACCTACATACACATTGCACTTTACGAACTTTGACAACAAATTATTCATTGCTCATAGCACACAATTACCAAGAATTCATTATACATGCAACTGAAAAACGGGAATTGAACATATGTGGGGATTAAAACGTCGCTTGTGAACACTGGCCATCTAATCTAGTTAGTAGGGTTTGGATCTGTTTTTTTCCACCCGAGTTAACTTGACAAGCACAAAAATTAGAAAACGGGTGAAAAGGTGTGGCGAACTCTTCGACTGTATTTCAGTACTTTAAACACCCTCGTACTTAGTATGTCACGAAATCCTTCTAAACTATATATTGCCCCTATCTTTCTGGGATATCACGTAGTTAAGTACGGGAATTACACTACTCTTGACTTGACTGCTATCGATCGTCTGAACTTTAACAAACACAATATTTGACGCGTATGAAGAGTAAAGCACTTTTAATCTTCTGATCTACTGTCCTTACCATTATCGTTATTATTAACAGTGATTTATTTTAAGTTCCCTGTCGTTCAAAGTAGACTTATCAGTATAAAATACGACGTATCATGTTTGAAAATTCCTTAGAGACATATTGTACTCATTTTTTGTCAAAAGAGTATTTACGTACTCTCCAAACCACCTCTTTCTGCGTACATCTGCTGTGTCGTACTTTATCAATATAGTTTTGCTGAGAGCTATCTCCTTGGAATACTTTTGTTTAATGCTACTACTTAAAGATGTCTAGTAGCACCTGGAACTGATTACAGCAGCACGTTACTCAATGTTCTTTCATCATTACTTCAAGACGTTTTCAATGCTTCATCGTTTAAGCAATTTCCCTGATTAGGTCACTCTCTTTTGGCTCACACCACTCTTCTCAACAAAGTGGTATGATGGCTTGCTATAGGGGAGTAGAATTTTCATTCAACATTTCGACGTAACAGCCCCTCTTTTATTCTCTTTTCTTCGTCATTCCACTATTCCTTGAACTCTGACTGACTGTCCACTAAGCTCGTCATCCAACCCCTAAATCTAATTTTAAGAACGTTTCACCGCTTTACATATCTGAAAAGAGCTAACGTAGAGATATCAGCTAAGGTAGGAACCGTTTCAATATTCATTGCCCTCATCCTCAGACAAGTGAAAAAATTCCGTGCGTCTTACAGGTCGCTACCTACTTTTAACAATAGGTAGTCCAAACGTGTCAACTGTAACTTACTTGAATGGATGATCGCCATCTTTCTTACTCTGTCTCAGAATGGACGTCACTATCTGTATTCTTATACGATCACCATCTTCTTCTTTCCACATATTTGTCGTCAACCTTTTGTTTATGCCTCTAATTTAAAAGTCAAGCACCTAGTCTTCACTCAACTTAACACTTTCATGGTCTCTGGGTGTACCTCTGTAGAACGATGATATAATATAAACAGGAGTCATGCCGTCAGCTGGATTCGTTGCTTCCATAGGCATATCACTGATACTGTATCTCCGTACCACGCTCACTATTCCTCCTTATTCATTGAGTTCAGATCTTTAGTAATTTTTCTAAGATACGGACAACCTGGACTCTTCCCCAAGCCATCGAGTGAATAGCCTTAATCATGAATTGTTTTGGATTGTGAAGTCACTTTGCAACAATTGTAAAACGTGGAATAATATAAAAACACAGATATATCAGTTTGAGTTCCCTCATAACAGTTTGAATTGAGTATACAAAAGTTTTTAGCTCTACGGGTCAGTGACTCATGCTCATTATTTGAACATGAAAAATCGGCTAACATATAGTCAGTTGTTCATAAGTACGCTCACATTAGTTGTGATCCTAGATACCAGGTGAGCTGCATAAGATTTTGATGGCATGTATCTCTTTTTTTTGAGCTGCTCGATTCCCAACCAAACGAGCATACCAAACAAACTTGCCTGGTAAAATACACATCTCCGTTTTGAAGTTAGTCCATCATATTGTCCCACTTACCGAACATCTGAGTTTTATAGCTGATTGTTGCACAGATCTAAAAGGTAAGGTCGGCAGCACTTCACTTCAAACAATACACAGTGACAGGTCTTAATGTGCCAAAACCAGCCTTTCCCACTACCAATCCTACATCTACTTGACTGCTCAACAGTGATGTATGTGATGTATCCTTTCCTTGAAACATTGTAGAGCAGATGTAATATTGTGTTTTAAAGTAACCAAATCAATGTGCTAACCAAGAGCTAACAGGATAACTCAACTTAAGGTAAGTAGAATTCAATGAGCACAACTGAACGGTTGATATTTTGAACTCAAATAAGCCTCGGAAACAAGTACAAAGCTATCACTGTCAAATACATCAGTCTCAGGGTATTGAACATAGAAAGCAAACTCAAGAGCATTTCTATCGTATTTGTTGGTTTGCTGGTCTTGTTCGATACAATGACTTATGTATCATTTTATACGTTCTATCGCAGTATAAGAGCAGGTAGCGCGTATGATGTGTCAATGAACAAACCACTCTTTTTTGTATTTTAGTTCATAGTTCTATTCTCTTCTATTCTACCCTACGATTAGTGGAAAATTTTGCTGGCTGACATCTTTCCTTTGACAACACTTTATTAAAAATATTTGAGGAGCGTCAGCCTACATCAACACTGAAAATACGTACTTCAACTGTCAACACAGAGGTTCTTGTTTCCTTTTATTATTCTTTACATACCTGACCCGGAATTAGTTATTGATCCACTGAGAATGAGTCTGTCAGTATTTGTAAGAAAGTCTGTGATAAACTTTGGTGATGCCGTTTCTCCACTTCTCAATTGCTTCTTTAGCTTCAGTTTCATCCTGGCAACCACCAGGTGGGGATCTGAAGCTATGTCAGCCCCTCTCATGGTACTCACGTCTTCCAATGACCTTGTGAACGTCTCATTGATACAGATATGATTGGTCTGGTTCTGCGCAATGTTATTCGGTGAGACCCAAGTAGCTTTGTGTATGAGTTTATATAGGAATATTGTACCGCATATAACCGATTTGTTGAATACACATAGGTTTGCAAATCTCCCCACATTTTTGTTTCTCTCTCCCAGTCATTCCATGTCATCCCATGATATCTTCATCCCAGGTGTTTTCCATTCTGACTTTGGCGTTTAGGTGTCCCATTAGGATGGTCAGGTCCTTTCCTGAGCATTTCACTATGGTCGATTCCAGTCAACCATAAAACTGATTTTCATAGTCGTCTTTGCTGTCATTGTTGGGCGCGTCACACTGGATAACATTTATTGTGGTTTCCTACTCTGTTTTGAATGATGTTTTAATGATCCTGGACCCATAAGATTCTCATCCTATGAGTGTTTGACGTGCTTCTCTGGGTGGCATCGGAGCAACTCCCTGAGTGTGCGGAATATCTTCCAGGACTAACCAGAAATGTTTTCCCGCTGTCTGTATTCATCCATTAGATGAAGGGATTTATAATATTAACTAAAGACAATGAAAGAATAATTAGTGCACTTCCATCTTTGTAACCAGAGTACAGCGGCATCTCTTCCGAATTCACGCTTTTCTATCCAGATTGGGTCCAAAGACTTTACTGATTCCGAGGACGGCCAAGTTGTGTCTCCTCACTTTCACAGCTATTTGATTTATCTATCCGGTCTGGCACATT